CTTGTGTAAAACATTCAGCTCATTTGGACTTCTAAAACTCCAGATCTGGGCCAAACACTAAACAATGCACAGACTGTAAAATAGATTCGGACTTCTTTGTTGTTACTACAATTTGGAATGAAAAATGACTTTTTTAAATCTTGAGCTCCGTATGAAAGTTATAGGCCTATATCTTACATTTTCATTCATATAAAGTAAACTTAAATTCGAGATTTATAGCTCTAGATATGATTCAATTATCGAACAGTGTTCCGGTTTGGACTGTACGAACATCGTTTTTTTTTTTTTAAGCTTGGTCATCTCTTTGTCCTTTCAATTTCAGTTTTTAAATTCATCAATCAATCTTTTTATTTATGTGATAGGCCTGCATTTAAAATTAACATTTACCACAAATTAAAGGTATTTTATATTATTAGATATGTTATTATAAAATATGTTTTAGTTAAGAAGTTATTGATACTTCAAGTGCAAAATGATGATATAAAACCTTGATAAAAATACACTTTTAAGTATTAATCAGGGTGTAGAAAAGATGGGGCTAGGAATGGAACTATTGCACTGGCCATTGCATAATTTTTTTTCTGAATTTTTTTTTTCTGAAATGAGATAATTAATTGTTTATTATTGTTTTTGTATATAAAAAGAGATCTATAAAAAGAGATCTACCGTAAACTAATTATGCAATTAGGCCATGCATAGCCCTCTAGTTTCTCTTCAAATTTCATTTGTAAGTCTCTCTTTTCATAAAGAGGTTTCAATTGTTCATCACAAAAGGTTATCACCAGATATAATTGAAAAACACTTTTGGCAGCGTGATAATCCTCAGCTTCAATGTCTCAGTTTGATGAGAAAAGTGATCACTTGAAAAATTTATAGCTGAATCTTGACTCTACAAGTTCTTAGCCTTGTTATTCCAAAATTCACAGAACAAAAATTTTGATCTTCCTGGATATGTGTTTTAAACTTATACAATACAACATGGTTTGATACTCATAATTGCAATCAGGCAATATATAGTTCAGCTTTTCCATCAATGAAGAGACTCATGAACTCTTCTCCGTCGACAGTTTCTTTTTCTATGAGAAGTTGCGCGAGCTTGTGGAGGATGTCAATGTGAGTTGTCATGATTTGCTTGGCTCTTGAATAAGCAGTCTCCACTAACTCTCTTACTTCTGTATCCACCACATCAGCAGTCGCCATGGAGTAGTCTTTCTGGGATGACATCTGCGATTAAAACAAAAGAGGGGCTAATCCAATATTTTTGTTGCAGAAGAGCTGGAAATGGTGAATAAGAGAACAACCAGCTAGTGAATAGAAAAGGCAGATTTGAAAAGATCCAAGTTCAAACTTACCTGTTGTCCCAAGAAAGGATTTCCACCAGGTCCGCCGATGGCAACCTGTCCAATCTTTTTGCTGAACCCAAATCTCTCTACCATCTGCCTAGCCACACGTGAAACTTGCATGAAATCACTAGATGCTCCTGTAGTGACATTGTCCTGACCAAATATTACTTCCTCGGCAACCCTGCATTTTAGATGAGGGCGAAGAAATCGTCATATAAAATGAAACAGTAGTAAAACATCCAAGGTAGTGTAAATCACTTGGAATTTCCTTATTTGCATCAAGTCTCATTAGCTCAAAAACTAAAGTCCAAATAGAAGGGAATTTGTTGCCCTTGCTCACTCTTGAAGAGCACCAAAGATACTCAAATGCCTAAAAAGATTTTCCTAGGTACTAACCTTCCACCAAGTGCAACAGCCATTTGATTCTCCAGGTAGCTTCTACTGTACAATCCAGACTCGAGCCTTTCCTCACTTGGAGCAAAGAATGTTAGACCACCAGCTTGACCACGGGGAATGATGGATATCTTGGCTACTGGATCGTATTCAGGCATAAGTGCACCAACCAAAGCATGCCCAGCCTCTGCAAATGGAGAGTAACACACATAATTAGCCTAACAAAATTGAATCCTGGGATATAACAAGAGACTAGAGGAAAGGCCAAAAGGTTATCATGCTTACCGTGATAGGCAACTAATTTTTTCTTTTCATCCGAGACAACAGCATTTTTCTTTTCCGGTCCTGCAATTATCCTCTCCAGGGCATCAGAAATCTCATCCTTGCTTATTTCCTTAAGGTCACGCCTAGCTGCAACAATGGCTGCTTCATTCATCAGGTTCTGCAAATCAGCTCCAGTAAATCCTGGGGTCCTCCGTGCAATCTTTTCAAAGTCCACATCCTTTGCAAGTGCCTTTCCTCTAGAGTGCACCTATCATTTATAAAAGTAAAATTGTGCACCATGCTAAGATCAAGCAAGAGCAGAATTCTCGAACACTATACAGGCTTCCGAAACAACCTGATTCTAGGATGCATTATCAGACAAATCTATCTAGTATCCATAATCAGACCAATTTGGAACGGTCCATTTTTCTCAAGAAACATACACATCAAATATGGGGAGTTTTCCAGTATGCATTATCAGACAATTAATAACCAGACCGGAAAAACTATCAGTTCACAGAGAGTTTCTCTTATATTACCAGTATTAGAATTCAGAGTTTAGCTGTCTTAAACTTCCTCTTATAAACATGACACAACACACAAAAACACAATTCTGTTTCTATTCTCTGTTTCCTTATCCTAATTTGCACACTCTATACATTCTATATGAGGAATATAACAACTTGGTTAACATTATTGAACTTACCTGAAGAATCTTGACTCTACCAGCAATATCAGGCCTATCGACTGTAACCTGTCTTTCAAACCTTCCCGGTCGCAACAAAGCTGAATCAAGAACATCAGGTCTATTCGTAGCAGCCAATACAATAACACCTGAATTGCCTGAAAACCCATCCATTTCGGTCAACAACTGATTAATAGTCTGCTCTCTCTCGTCATTCCCACCTCCAAGTCCAGCCCCTCTCTGCCTCCCAACTGCATCAATCTCATCAATAAACACAATGCAGGGTGCTTTCGACTTGGCTTTCTCGAACAAATCTCTCACTCTCGACGCTCCAACTCCAACAAACATCTCAACAAACTCCGAGGCTGCGCATGAAAAGAACGGCACCCCTGCCTCTCCCGCCACAGCTCTAGCCAACAATGTCTTTCCAGTCCCTGGCGACCCAACTAGTAAACATCCTTTAGGAATTTTAGCTCCTAAAGCTGTATACTTATCAGGATTTTTCAAGAAATCAACAACCTCTTGTAACTCCAATTTGGCTTGATCAGCTCCGGCCACATCAGCAAACGACACACCGGTTTCCGGCACTTCCTGAAACTTCGATTTCGACCTGCCAAAATCCATCGGTCCACCTAACCCACCGGTCCCACCCGGCCCACCTTGAACCCGTCGGAACAAGAGAAATAATCCAGCAACAGTAAGAATCGGAAAAAAAAGACTTCCAATCACATTAAAAAACCCATTCCCTGAGTCTCCCTCGGAAACTGAAATATCAACACCGCTCCTTGCTAAAATGTCAATCAAGTCAGGGTCATTAAGGACAACAACGCTGGCACGACGGCCATCTACGGCGCTGAGTTGGAGGGTAGAACCATCTTTGCTGAAACGAACTCTTTCCACTTTCCCTTTCTTGACCGCATTCAGAAACTCGCTGTACCGCCATTGACTACCTTCAGGAAGGTCAGAGGTTGACTCAGACTGGGGTTTAGGGGCTGTAACGAGAAGATTTTGAGCGAAAGGAGAAGATGGTTTGGTGGGAAGGGCTTCAATAACCGGAGGAGGAGTAGGCGGTAGTGCTGGGTTGTCAAGGGCTAGGGCTTGAGGGGTTAAAGAAGAGAAGAGTAAGGCAGCAGCTATGGTTGCTTGTGATTGAAGGGATTTAAAAGAACCAGATTTCTTTTTATTTACTATTTTTAGGAGATTCTTGGACAAGAGGAAGGAGGAT